AGCAGAAAGTTAGGTTATGGTGAAGTTGTATACCAACATATTTAGCATATGTACAGCCTTTAACAGTTACTAAACAACAGTTGTATAAGTGCTTCCGTTGGGAGCAACTTGTTGGCTAAAGTAGTAATATGCACAGCAAAACAACAAGGCTCGCGTTTGTTTTATAAACGTTACCATGGATGCCACAACACACCCATTTTGACTAACGTGCAAATATGCCGTATAAAATAGTTGTATAAACGTTTATGCAACAGTTAAAAATTTGTCCTATAAGGTGTTGTATAATTATGCTAAAGAATATTTTAAACACCTCATTTTAGAGCAAATATGTTGCAGAAAGCAAATTTGCATTCCACACAACATTAAGCCAGCATTTTGGTGTTCAGGCAACAACAATAGAGAGCTTTTATGGCTGAATGGTTCTTTTACCAAAAGCTTATAGCACTACTTTGCTAGTTGGGGAACCCTTTACCCGCTTGTTTTAACGAAAAATATTTCATGAAAAAGAATGAAACAGTTAAACTGAGTTACAGGCGATGAAGTAGTTTTTGGCTAAATGGTTGTCCCCCTCAACAAATCTCTTGACGTGTCTCGGCGTTTTTCCTGTTAATCAGTGGTTTTCGATAAATCCGTGGTGGGAAGTTTTCAAATGAACGCCCTGTATATTTATGAGTTGATAATTGAAGAGATCGAGATTTGAACAGATATTACTATGCTGCTTACTACTTACTATCTTCTTTCTATCAAATGAAACTGCTTCTCTCTGATTCTGTCCCTCAAAAAGTGTTTTTATCAAATTTGTTCACAGCGTTAAATGCGCGCGCAAACAGCTTTTTTCTTGTATTCCTGTCCAAATGTCTAAATTTTCAATTCACTATCTTGATCACAGAACACATGAAGCTCAATTTCAAATAATGCAGTAACGGACATGCAATGCTACCAAGACGAAGAACGCAGAAACACTATTTTATTTATATTTGCGTCAAGCTGAACGTATAGGCAACCAGACTTACGCAACCGTCATTTCTACGCCATCAACGATGCACTTTTAAATTGATCACGGTTGAAAGGTGTGGTGACTTTTTAACCGTTTGTAACCATTCCATATTTGCAAAAAGTCTCTAATTAGATATCTATATCAAAGAGATTTGAAACTCATAAATATTAGTGGTCAAACTAAACTGAATGCAAATTCAAGATGAGATGTAAATAATAACAGTTAGCGCGTGATCTCTCGGTAACAGGTGGGGACAACGCCTCTTATTGGTCAATTGGCCATTAAATTTCAAGTGGTCGGGCGGCCGCCTGGCGCGGGGCAGGGGCAGGGCAGGCAGAGTTGCATTCAGGCCACCGACTGTCGCGTGTATCACTGCGTGCTCGTGTTTTCGTATTCATCTTGCTTGGTTGTTGCTGTTATTGTTGTTAAGTGTATTTGAGTAGGTAATTTGTTAAGTTTCTGTTTGTTATTGTTATTCCTCGTTATTATACTAAGTGACATATAAATCCGAACACCCAGTTTAAATGGTTTTATTTTAATAAAAGTTGGTGAATGTATTTATCTTACTGTAAATAACAAGTAAAAAAATTGTCAGCCTTATCAGTTGGACATTCCGGTTTTTATACTGCTTTTTTTTAATTCACTAACGCTCTAAAAATGAATATTTCAGCCGCAGTAAAGAATCAACGTTGGCGGATTTTGGTTCTTGACATCCTTTACGATCGGTTACGATGCCTAGAGTACGGAGACCTGTACGATTTCGTCAACTTAGTGAGTTTGATAGGGGCCGTATAGTGGGACTTCGGGAAGCTGGACTTTCTTTTCGGGCAATTGCAGTTAGAGTGCAAAGAAGTGTAGACACTGTGGTTAGGTGTTGTCAGGCATGGCTTCGAGAAGGCCGTACGCAAAGAGCAAGGGACGCCGCCGTAGAACAACAGACCGTGAAGATCGCCGCCTAAGATTATTGGCCTTAAGGGACCGTTTCTCCACTACCAGGTCCATTGCAAATGAATGGTTTGCAGAACACGGAAGACCTATTGGCATGCGAAGTGTTTACCGGCGAATGAGAAGTTTTGGCTTGTTTTCATACCGGCCACACTGGGTCCTCCCTTTAACTCGAGAACACCGACGTAATCGCCTTGAGTGGTGCAGACAACAGTCACTCTGGGATCAGGAATGGAACAGTATTGTCTTTAGTGACGAGTCTCGATTTTGTTTAGGTATGCACGATGGTCGTTCCAGGGTTAGAAGGCGACGTGGTGAAAGGAGGAATCCACAGTTTTTTGTTGAAAGACATGTTCATCACACTGTTGGAGTTATGGTTTGGGGTGCTATAGCTTATGGTTCCAGGTCACCTTTAATTTTCATCAGAGGTAACATGAACGCGCAGCATTATATCCACGAAGTTCTAGAACCCCATCTGTTACCCTATCTTGACACCCTGGCAGATCCAACTTTCCAACAAGATAATGCCCGACCACATGTTGCAAGAGTCACAATAGACTTCTTTCAACATAATGATGTCACATTGTTACCATGGCCACCAAGATCTCCCGACTTATCCCCAATTGAGCACGTGTGGGATATGATGGGTAGGAGATTGCTCAATTTGCAACGTCCTCCTCAGACTCTAGAAGCACTTCGAGAGGAGTTGGTGGTTGCCTGGAATGAGATACCACAGGAGGACATTGACCACCTGATCAGAAGCATGCCTAGGCGCGTTGGAGAATGCGTAGCACATCAGGGTGCATCCACACATTATTCAAGGTCAAAGGGCTTTAAAGCAGTGCAATCATTTTGAAATTTTTATCATTTACTTATTATGCTTCATTAAGTACTTATACAAAATTTTATTAAAATAAAACCATTTAAACTGGGTGTTCGGATTTATATGTCACTTAGTATATTTGTTTTGAACCAATCCTGAACATGTCCAGTACAGATACTGCTGACGAGGGTGTAGGCTACTCCCTTAGCCCTCCTAGAAAGCGATCAAAAAAAGACATCTTAGCGTAGACATGAAAGACGTCATATTGAATACATTCAAAATAGAGCGGAAGGAAGACGAAACATCAACTAACCCGAAAATAGCTCTGAAAGTGGCAGATAAAATTGGGGTATGCCAAGCGACAGTGTACAATGTTTTGAACGAACATAAGAAAAAGCATGCCTTTTCCAAGCCAATGACGGGTAAAAATCGCAAAAGTATCATAAGATCGTTGGACGCTGACAAGCATGCGATTCGGAGGAAAGTGCACGAGTTCTTCTTCAGAAACGAAATACCGACAGTTGATAAAGTACTACGGGAGGTTAACGAGGATGCTATGTTACCAAATTTCAAACGTTCGACTATTCATAAACTTTTGAAGCATCTTAATTTCGAAAGGAAGAAACGAGGTCGTAACAGCTTACTTATCGATAGAGAAGAAATTGTTCTGTGGAGGAGAGAGTACCTGACTAAAATTAAATCATTCAGGGATCAGCACAGGAAGATCTAACCTGGATTAACGCTGGGCACACTACTCCGAAGGTATGGGTATCCAGAAGGGCATTTCTAGATGGACTGTCGACCGGATTGAAAAATCCAGCAGGTAAATAGATCGAAGTAGTTCACGGTATCAATTTTTGCGCACAGTATCTCTCTATCTTCGTACCTACAAGACGTGCATGTGTAATTATCTTTCTAGGCAAATAAAAAAGGCTCATTATTTGCCACATTGGGGGTGTAGATGGCTTCGTGGATGACGGCTTATGGTCTTTTGAGTCAAAAAAAAAACACTGACTACCATGAAGAGATGAATGGGGAAGCATTCGAGAAGTGGTTTTCAGGCATTTTACCACATCTCTAAGACAATTCTGTGGTTGTTTTGGATAATGCTCCCTATCATTCTCGCAAAATAGAAAAAATCCCAACTTCAGCTTCTAGGAAATCAGACATTCAGAGCTGGCTCCGTTCCAAAAATATAACTTTCGACCCTTCCTTACTGAAATTACAACTATTAGATATTGTGAAACAACTCAGACCAAGACATAATAAATATGTCATAGATGAAATGGCCAAAGCACACCACAAAACAGTACTCCGTTTGCCGCCTTACCACTGTGAGCTCAACCCCATTGAGCTCATATGGGCAGATGTTACGAATTTTGTTGCTGCACACAATACAACATTTCAATTTTCTGACATGCAAGAGCTGTTCAGAATTGCGATACAGAGGGTCACACCAGAAAGATTGCAAAAATGTGTGCAGCATGTTCAGGAGAAAGTGGAGGTAGCAATGTGGGAGCTGGACAACATAATTGAGAGAGATTTTGAATTCATCATCATAAACATTAATGACGATAGCTCTTCAAGTGAGTCTGAGTAAGTTTCGCGTTTTTGTTTTGTCACAGAATACATATTATGGGAATACTAGTTATAGTGAAATATTAACTTACAAATAAACTACAGACAATGCAAGTCCGAAGTGCACCTTCAAAATCTATTTTCAATTGATTGGACAACCTTATATTTATTCCATGAACAAAAGTGTTATCTCTACCCCTCGTTGACTACGGATTCAGTGTGCATAGTGAGCAGCTGGTTACCTCTGGTATGTATTTCTCCATGTTGTCTAGTTTGAAAAATCTGTAGAAAAACTTAGCACCCCTTCAAGAATAAAAATTTGATTTTGCGACACCCTTAACTATAACTACTTCACTATATTAGATAATTTCGTTAAATACTGTCATCTTTGTTTTACAACACGTTGGTAGTAGTCCATTATTCGGAGGTAGCCCTGAATGCGGCCCTGTACGCCGTCCTTGCTTTTGGTAATCACGCATCCATTCTATCTTGGGTGTAAATACACAGCTTGATGCTTTCACTTTTGCAATGGTGGATTCTGATGATGCCATAATTCAAAATTTTCCTATATTTTTTGATTTTGTACTGTGTGTGGTGGCCATATTAAGCAGGACGTAAAATTAGTTATAGGAATTTCATTAGATTCAAAATACTTACAACGTAACAGCCCAATTCAAAAACTTGTGCAGCCCTTGCTCTAGCTCCTTGATGGAAAACCAGTTGGTGTGGAAGGGCATCATGTAGGGCGCTCGGTTCTGGTCGTAATACCTGAGGAAATCCTCCTGCAGCCATTCGAAGACATCTTCGGCATCGTGGTTGTGCAACACGCACTGGTCCAGGTAGGGACAGTGGCCTCCCTCAAAACCTTCTACGTAATGGGTGTTCAACGGTACTTCCCATACTCCTAAAACGTTTAATTGCTTTGCTATGTGGTCAAGTGGTATTGCAGAAAATAAATAACTATACAAGAAAAGTTAATGAGCAAAATCTAATTGCTAAAGTTAAACGTACCCCAAAAATAAGTGATCACTCAGGAATATGAATAAACACATGAGAGAGGCTATGGTGAAGACCAGTGGTCGTCAAACTTTTCAGTGTGTTGAGCTACTTTGATAATTTTTAACAGTGCCCAACTAACAATTATCACTCCTGTTAGAGTTGCAAAAATGATTATACAGTATTCCTTACACAGCATTGTATACTGTAAGAACATTGGCAAAACCCTCTTAGAACAGCTATACATGCGGAATGGGCACACCTAATAGGACTCTTCAGTCATTTAAGAGGTTGTATAAGGGCTGCAGGTAACAGTTATACAACAAAAGTGTAAGCCCCTTGCAGCAGCTATAGGACATTTCCGTCAGTGCAAGATTCAGTTTTTGTCAACTATACAACTATTCTGTTACGTGATTCTATTTTATTGCAACCAAACTATTTCTTATGTATTCCATAGACGAAGTGAAGAATATATAACTAACACATTACAGTCATCTTGTTTACTTACATATCGGCCAATGTGAATTTCATACACAGGTATATGATAAACTTCTACACTGTGATATAGGGCTAATAAATTACTTGCTCAGCAAATTTTATTGTAATTATCGTGCAAAGTAGTTAAGCAATTTCTACGGGCTTCGTATTTGATTCATATTTTGATAATGATCAAAAGTATGTCTAGATTTTTAAGATGGAAAACTGAACTTATCTGCGTCAAATCTTCCACAAATCCTATATTTAGACACAATTACACTAATGTTTATTACTATTCTATAATTTCGAACTAAAACATAATTATTTAATATTAAATAGAGGAATAAATGTTTGCCCAATATGGCTGGTGGTTGTGTATAATCATGGCATCGCCCATGTTGTCTTCAGTTTATTAGAATATTTTGGTATTGCCTGCAGGTGTTATACAACAGTTTGACAAATGTCTGAAATGAAATACCGACAGAGTCCAATGATTTACCCAGAATTTGTACGAGATCTATATCTTCTGTTTGAACAACAAAACCTTTTGAACCAATATGCATGCGTTGTTTGTCTTAAATCATTGGTTGTGGCATTTTAACAAAAATATGACTGCAGAAAGTTAGGTTATGGTGAAGTTGTATACAACATATTTAGCATATGTACAGCCTTTAACAGTTACTAAACAACAGTTGTATAAGTGCTTCCGTTGGGAGCAACTTGTTGGCTAAAGTAGTAATATGCACAGCAAAACAACAAGGCTCGGGTTTGTTTTATAAACGTTACCATGGATGCCATAACACAACCATTTTGACTAACGTGCAAATATGCCATATAAAATAGTTGCATAAACGTTTATGCAACAGTTAAAAATTTGTCCTATAAGGTATTGTATAACTATGCTAAAGAATATTTTAAACACCTCATTTTAGAGCAAATATGTTGCAGAAAGCATATTTGCATTCCACACAACATTAAACCAGCATTTTGGTGTTCAGGCAACAACAATAGAGAGCTTTTATGGCTGAATGGTTCTTTTACCAAAAGCTTATAGCACTTCTTTGCTAGTTGGGTGAGCTACCTAGTCGTAAGCAACGTAAGACAACTTAAATGAAGTGGGCCATTTTCAACAATTTTCGTAATAATTTCGTTGGTTTTATTGTTATGTTTACGTTGTCAGTTGTTGTTGTTCATTACCCCTAATGTGTTTAATTTTTCCAATTAAATTAATAATAATTTTGCAAGTTAGACAATAGAATGGTTTTATTTTTTACTCAAAAATGGCGCATCAAAGAAAAATAATTCAAGAGAGATCATTTGTTTTGAATTAAGCGGGGAATATAAAAATGATGTTTATTTGGCAAAAAACGATAGGCGTCCCTTTTTTTCTAAAAAAATATCGACGTAAATACCCGTACGCACGCCACTGTTAAAGCTAAACATTATTTTTGTATTGAAAAATATGCAACTTTATTAACTTTCACTACTTACTAAATATCAGTGAAATATCTGAAGCGGTTCTGAAAATATTAATTAATTTCCATTTTTTTCCTAAAATTTCAACACCCCGAGTTTTTGTAAGGAAACATTTTTGGACCATAGTTTATAAAGCAAACTAATATTAATTTTTCATGTACATTCGCATCCTTAAATATTCGCATATCATTAAGGAACACCCTGTATACTATACGAATAGCAGGATAGAAGAATAAAATTACCTGGGAATGACTTTGTCGGACATGTTCCTGATTTGCATTCGTGGGGTATCTTGTAATCTAAGGTATACGGCCAAACAGGTATAGGCAAAGCTGGAGCACCAATAGAACTGTCGTAGATAAACCCAAATTCTTCTAAAACCTGGAATCAGATGTAGTCAACATTGCTTTAAAAGTTACAGTTAACGTGCAGTATCAGAATGCCAGTTGTTACAAACCTTGTATTGGGTGTTTCTCCCTGGTTTCAAATATGGAGCTCTCATCCCAACAACTTCACTCTTCGATATGTTCGCCAAGTGTTTTAGAATGTCTCTCATTCCCACCATTTCAGCGACCCACTCTTCGTAGCCTTTGTTCTCCAATCCAGCTTGTTGACTGTAAAATAAAGTTCGATTGCTAACATTGAAAGGGGCAAACGCGATGCCATAATGTAAATTAGTTAGTTGACACTTTTTTAAGTAGGTCTCAAATAGTTGATATTAATTTTTTCTATTAGAGTAAAACAATTAATACAAGATTTTTTCAGTAAAACTTTAATTTGAAAATAGATTTTTCTTAGACAGGCTGCCATGTTATAACCTATCAAACTTTTAAAAATTTAAACACGACTTCTGCTAGTTTACAAGAAAAATATAGTAATTATCGTTATTCTATCATCTGAGAATATAAAAAAATTGATAAAGACCCTAGGAAATAAATATTCGAAACACTGTGTATTGCTTGGCGCATACCTTATGCTCGTGACATATGCTAAGTGACATAGAAATACGAACACCCAGTTTAAATGGTTTTATTTTAATAAAATTTTGTATAAGTATGTACTTAATGAAGCATAATAAGTAAATGATAAAAATTTCAAAATGATTGCACTGCTTTAAAGCCCTTTGAACTTTAATAATGTGTGGATGCACCCTGATGTGCTACGCATTCTCCAACGCGCCTAGGCATGCTTCTGATCAGGTGGTCAATGTCCTCCTGTGGTATCTCATTCCAGGCAACCACCAACTCCTCTCGAAGTGCTTCTAGAGTCTGAGGAGGACGTTGCAAATTGAGCAATCTCCTACCCATCATATCCCACACGTGCTCAATTGGGGATAAGTCGGGAGATCTTGGTGGCCATGGTAACAATGTGACATCATTATGTTGAAAGAAGTATATTGTGACTCTTGCAACATGTGGTCGGGCATTATCTTGTTGGAAAGTTGGATCTGCCAGGGTGTCAAGATAGGCTAAAAAGATGGGGTTCTAGAACTTCGTGGATATAACGCTGCGCGTTCATGTTACCTTTGATGAAGATTAAAAGTGACCTGGAACCATAAGCTATAGCACCCCAAACCATAACTCCAACAGTGTGATGAACATGTCTTTCAACAAAAAACTGTGGATTCCTCCATTCACCACGTCGCCTTCTAACCCTGGCACGACCATCGTGCATGCCTAAACAAAATCGTTACTAAAGACAATACTGTTCCATTCCTGATCCCAGAGTGACCGTTGTCTGCACCACTCAAGGCGATTACGTCGGTGTTCTCGAGTTAAAGGGAGGACCCAGTGTGGCCGGTATGAAAACAAGCCAAAACTTCTCATTCGTCGGTAAACACTTCGCATGCCAATAGGTCTTCCGTGTTCTGCAAACCATTCATTTGCAATGGACCTGGTAGTGGAGAAACGGTCCCTTAAGGCCAATAATCTTAGGCGGCGATCTTCACGGTCTGTTGTTCTACGGCGGCGTCCAGTGCCCCTTGCTCTTTGCGTACGGCCTTCTCGAAGCCATGCCTGACAACACCTAACCACAGTGTCTACACTTCTTTGCACTCTAACTGCAATTGCCCGAAAAGAAAGTCCAGCTTCCCGAAGTCCCACTATACGGCCCTTATCAAACTCACTAAGTTGACGAAATCGTACAGCTCTCCGTACTCTAGGCGGCATCGTAACCGATCGTAAAGGATGTCAAGAACCAAAATCCGCCAACGTTGATTCTTTACTGCGGCTGAAATATTCATTTTTAGAGCGTTAGTGAATTAAAAGAAAGCAGTATAAAAACCGGAATATCCAACTGATAAGGCTGAAAATTTTTTCACTTGTTATTTACAGTATGATAAATACATTCACCAATTTTTATTAAAATAAAACCATTTAAACTGGGTGTTCGGATTTATATGTCACTTAGTATATTTTACATTTTACTGACGTAAACCATTGTTTTTTTTAAGAAAACGAGAAACGATAACTTTTTACGTTGGTTAGGACTTTTTTAGAAATACTCACTATTTTCTTTGTTTACAATTTGTATAGCGTCACATCATGACCGATAGTGTTTTCACTGTTTTGTATTAAAAGTTAAAAATATGTTTTTTAAATTGGACTTGCGGTTTTATATAATAATACGCTGTTTTGCGAATATTTGTTTGGGCTGATACACATTTGAGCTAGTTTGACGGCATTTATGAATTGCTTGGAAAATTTCTGACTCCAATTTGGCGATTTCTTTTTTAGCATTGGCTCTCAAGAATTGTTAATTTAGTATGGTTTGTGTGGTAATCCCGAGGCTACAGGAGCGCAAATGGAAAAGATCTGAAGCTCTCAAATATTGTGTGCGGCAACTACGAGCCCCTTCCCACTTCAGTTGGCCCAACTATTGAAATCTTAGTTTTTTCCTATCAAACACAAATAATAAAAATGTAGCAGGGTGTTATAAGTTTAAAATATTAACAATGAATATTTTGATAATATATAGTAGAAAACACCAACTTTATCACTCCCTAATCAAATTTACAGCATAAAAATAGCACATGTTGCAATTACAGCATATCAACCTATTTTCATTTCAATGCAAAATAAGTCTATAACGCGCATAGGTGGCTGTGAAAAATAAAAGCCATGACAATTGTTTTTATTAATCACAGCTGTCAGAATACGTTTAAAATAGTGTTGGGTAGTTAAGGTTTTCAAAATGGGTAGAGGAAAGGTTATTAGTGAGAAAATTCGGTTACTGATAATTAAATTTTTTAATTCTTGGAAATCAAACTCAGAAATTGCAACTTTGTTAGACTTATCGCGGTACAGTGTGAGAAATATTGTTAGAAGATATAACTTAACTGGTTCAGTTAATATTAAGCCACGATATGTGAAAAAAAGTAATATCACAAATGCCGACCGAATAGCATTAAGAAGAACAATCGTGAAAAACAGGCGTGCCAATTATTTACAATTAAGTGCTCTGTGGAGTGACGCTGTTGGAAGGAGAATTTCGAGGTACACAACTCATAGAGAGGCCAACAAACTGGGATTTAGCAAGGTAAGTTTTCTTATAAAAAAAAGTGAAGTAAAAACCATAAAGTTGCACAACTTGTTTATAGGCCAAAGAAAAGCCACTATTAACTCCACTGCAAAAGAAAAATCGGCTTAGATGGGCTAAAGAACATAGACAATGGACACCTCAACAATGGTGTGCAATACAATGGAGTGATGAGGCCCGATTCGAAGTTTGTGTTGGTGACAGTCGCAGTAGAGGTATTCGCAAAAAAAATGAAGCATTCCATGTTGACTCTCTGAAGAGAAAAGTAAATTTCCAGCATCCATTATGGTCTGGGGCAGTATGTCATCAAAAGGAGTAGGAAAACTTCGTTTTATTGATGGAAATGTGGATACAAACAAATATTTGGCAATTTTAGAAGAATCGCTTTTACCAGTGATGGAAGAATGTTTAACATCCGGCCAAGATTTTGTGTTACAGGAAGATGGTGCAGCGTGCCATACCTCAAAAAAGACTATAAAATGGATGGAAGGAAATAATGTACAACTTTTGAAATTTGTTTCCAGCAGTCCAGATCTGTCACCTATTGAAACTTTGTGGCACGAGATGAAAAAGGTTCTACGACAACATCCTGCTCGTACAATCACCGAAGTGAAACAAAAGCTTCAAGCAATATGGGATTGTTTTACACCAAATTTTTGCCAAAACTTGGTTAACACTATGCCCCAAAGAATTTCAGCCGTAATAAAAAATAAAGGTGATGTTACCCAAGGGTAATCTTTCAATTGCTGCTTTGTTAACTTCGCGCATTTATTCCCACATGGTTTATTTGTTCAGATGTTCTATTAGTTATAGGTCTAAGTGATTTCAATTATGTATTTTTTACGACTAGAGTGTATCTAAAATGATTTTGAGAAAATAAATTGTTTTAGAAGTAAATAGTTTCGTCATGTTTAGTTTATAAAGGCATATTTTGGTACAAATCTTGAAGTGGGCCAACTGAAGTGGGAAGGGGCTCGTATTTAACATGTCTTAAAACGAGCACAAAATTGGAAGTGGGAATTTGACCGATATCAATTTTTACAGTTCAATGTCACCCACTTTGTACATTTGAATTTCACTGTTTTCAAGGTCATTTAAAGCTATGTAGGGGCCTTTGGATATACAGGAAGCTCGGGGTCTGCGGCAGAAAGGTCCACAGGGGAACGAAATTCAAGGCGCTTGAAGAGCGGGAGGGGGCGCCCAGACATGTTTTTTTAAATTTCCTTTGATGTCTGGGCATTTGGGTTCGTGGGTCTCGTGTGCCCCGTAGGGTAAAGACGGAATATCCCGTTTCCATTTCCAAGCTAAAAGAAGTCATTTATTCACATTATAACATTATTTTTGCCTCACCTTGTAGATCAATGCTATATGAAATAAATAAACAGACCGAGTCTCCGTACCATGGGCGGATCTTAACCTTCAGCGCAACTGCTACTCTCTCTAGTACGCATGAAGTGGGTAGCAGGGTAGCAGGGACCCGCTGTTTTCATTCTCTTCCTGGAACTATCTACTCTAATAGATTCAGCACGAGCTGGCGGCCTTCTCCACTGAGAGTATTTCCGGGCATTGTACAATTTATATATTGAATATTGATAACAGGACAACTCAGATTGCATGCCGATGTCAAGTAAGTTGTCACTCTGACAAATATGATTGAAGGGCACTCATACTTAACGACAAAGTTTTCAAAACGGAGACACAACTAGAAAACGTATGTACGAGGTTTGTTCAAAAAGTATCGCGAATTTCATGTTTTTTCAAGAATTATTTATTTATTTATTCGTCAAAAACTGACTGAACATTCAAAATGGCCGATATTGTCAACATTAGTGAGGGTCACCAACATAATGCCACAAACGCGAAAATTAAAAGTTTGCGATACTTTTTGAACAAACCTCGTATTTGAGCTTACCGAACAAACGTTCGCACACAGGGGTAGGGAGGTTGCTCAAAGTAATTATCTTTGCTGACCGAAACAGGAGATGCGAGGTTCAAGTTCCGAAGTTGGCTATTTTTATTTCAAAAAGTAACGGGTGATTTTTTAAGAGGTATAGGATTTGATTTTCAAAAAAAACACAAAAAATTTGAAAAAACGATTAACTCTTTATTTGACTCGATATAACGGTCGATATAATTTAATGTTTAAAGATTATTTCATGTAAATGTTGGCCGCGGCTCCGCTTTAGATGGCCCATGCGCAAGGTCCAATTTTGGCACACTCTCTCCAACATATCGGCCGGTATCTCACGAATAAATGCTTCAATATTGGCTTCCAGCGCGTCAATCGTTGCTGGTTTATCCCTGTAGACATTAGCCTAACATGGCCCCAGAAGAAATAGTCCAACGGCGTTAAATCACACGATCTAGGCGGCCAATTGACGGGCCCCAAATGTGAGATAAACTGTTCACCGAACTCGCCTCTCAATAGGGCCATTGTTTCGTGTGCGGTGTGGTATGTGGCACCGTCTTGTTGAAACCACATGTCAACCATGTCCAGCTCTTCCATTTTGAGCAAAAAAAGTTTATTATCATCGCACGGTAGCGCTCGCCATTCACAGTTACGTTTCGGCCATTGTCGTCTTTGAAGAAGTACGGCCCGATGATGCCACCGGCCCATATTCCACTCCAGATGCGGCAATTTTGCTAGTTAACGTACCCATTCAACCAGAAATGAGCTTCGTCGCTGAACACAATTTTTCGATAAAAATGTGGATCTTCCTCCAACTTTTCCAGCGCCCATTCACCAAATTGGAAACGTTGTGGGAGGTCGTGTGGCTTCAATTCCAGCACCAGCTTTATCTTATAACGTTTTACACCCAAATCCTATCGCAAAATTTTCCACGTAGTGGAGTAACAGAGGCCCAATTGCTGCGAACGGCGTCGAATCGACATTTCACGGTTATCACTAACACTGGCGGATACAGCCGCAATATTTTCTTCAGTCCTCACTCTACGTCTGCGTGTTGGTGGTTTAATGTCCAATAATGTAAACTGGGTTCGAAATTTAGTCACAAGCTTCCGAATAGCTCCCTCAGTAGGCCGACCAAATTGCCCATAAATTGGACGCAGTGCTCGATGCACTCTCTTAACCGAGTATCAATTTTGATAGTAAAATTCAATAATTTGCAAGCGTTGTTCGTTCGTAAGTCGATTCATGGTTAAATTATAGACCAAGCTGAACAAGTTTGACAATGACACAAGACACGATTCACGCGTCATCTGCCAAAAAGATACTAGCAAGAAAATCACCCATTATAATGTTAATCAAAACTACTTACGATATTGTATCAACAGCAATTTCATGTCCCTCGTGAGCCAGTTCTTGTATCATATGATAGTTGCTGTATTCGTGAGATACGAAAAAGGTTCCTTTAATCTCGCATCCATTTGGGTTAGTACGTTTGTGGTTGAAAACTTTCCTGTAGTGTTCGTAATTGTTGAGATTTACTGCTCCGTCGAATGTCATCAGGATCATTTGCGGTGTCTGCAATGAGTTAAATTTGAAATAGTGAATCACTTATTACGAAAGACCAAAGCATTCTAGGCGACGTTGCAATGAAGAACAAATAGGAAAACCTAATTTGAAATTGTTGGTGGGACTCTTGACTAGTTCAGAAAATAACATCAATTTTCGATTTTTGAAAAAATATTTATTTATTCGTCTACAAAATAGTCTCCATTAGATATTATGCACTTGTGACAGCGCTTCTTCCATTCCTTGAAACACTTCTCAAACCTCTTTGGGTTAGCATTTAGCTCTTTCAGTGATGCGTATTTAATGTCATCTATGATTGTAAAACGACGACCCTTTAATGTTCACTTTACTTTTCGAAATAGGGAAACGTCACACGGAGTCATGTCTGGCAAATATGGAGACTGGGGCATCGTTACAGTAAAGTATTTGGCCAAAAATTTACGAACAAGCAATGAAGTGCGATCAGGTGCAATATCGTTTTCCCACTAATCCGCACGGATATCACGTATCTTGAAAAGTGACATTATGCCGATTTTTTTGACATTATGCTGTTTTTTTGACATTATGTAGGTTTTTCTACAAGATGTTAACTTTGCACTTAGTTGTTCGTGTAAACGTCATGCGGCTTTAGTTATCAATGTTTGGCTCTGATTTTATGTAAAATCTGCTGAGAGATGGCATTACTGGAGGTCTAAGCTATAAGGTGTATGTGTTGATGATAATTCCATTGGATTCTTATCTTAAATACACTTAATTGAGATTCAAAGCTAGAAATTAGTTGCGCATCCACTTTTTCTTATACATTCTGGAAATTACATATACAAGTAATTATATTCACTGTACACTGTCGAAGTACAAGCCATATACATGCTAACAGTAATTACACACAACGCGGGCGCGGTGATGATTTCCCGTAATTCTCCTCAGTTTTTCGTAATTTATAACTCTGAACATAACCTCTCTTCAGAAAGCACAACATATAAATAACCCGTCATATTCAACATATTCAGTAATAATTTTCTCACTCAGCAAATATCACTGATTTTATACACATGCAGACCAATACACATAATCATCCAGATGCGATCTTGCTATTCAACCAACTTTCTTCTCAGAGATAAAAACTACAGACACGGATCACTCAGCCTCACAAAACTATGCAACCAATAATGCGTGTAGTTTAGTTGAGTGATTCCTTCATAGATGGACGTTCACAACGATCCTAGTGAGCAAATGTGGAATAACTGTTTCCGCCCTAAAAAGTACCTAGTCTGCAAGTTGACATCTTATAGGTTTTTTTTTTGGTACGTTTTGTAGGTTTTTTACATGATACCCGTGCCGGTCGTTTTTTTGGATAACTTCATAAAAACGGCGTTGACATTCTAGGCAGTATTACTTAATGAGCGGTTGACCTCGTTGTATAAAATATGTATTTGACGTCAAATAAATCGACGAAGTTCTTCGTGGATTTCTTCACGCAATTAGAACTTATTCTAATTTTTGCCAAGTTGGACGTAAAATTCGATGGTTCTAACCATGTTTTCATTTACAATTCAAGATAGAACTTTGACAGAACTACAGTAGTCAACAATATGGCTTCTGTTCATGAGGTTTGCCTCAAAATCAAAACCATAATACATATAAAAAATGTTTAAAGCAAGAATTTGTTGCGTGGTTGTCAGATAATCCATGAGTTTGTCCCTTGATGTAAACATCGTAAAACATAATCAGGATGACCATCTGAATAAATTCGTAAAGAATTCTTGGTGTAAAGCGGGTGATAGAAGACTCTCCAAAAGCTTTTGTTAACATTTCACACACTTTGTTACACTTTATTTCGTTTTTACGCAAAATTCGATACAAATACTTCGATAGATTTCTTTTAACAAGCAAAAACCGCCAAGCTCATAAAACACCTATAAACCTAGCGGCTGTCACAAACAAAGTAAGCAATGAATACAGCTGAAAATGTGATCATACCTCAGAGACATGTATACCAACACAAGTTAAAAAAATGGCAATCAGGCTCTCCAAGCCAGTGAAATTTAAAAATTCCCTTTATTTTCTGAACACACCTCGTACATCGAGTCACCTCCAATAATGACAGCTGTGGGTGGTCCGCTCTGTGACTACCCTCTGTTACTGTGACGCCTTAGGGTATCATGGGCAAAATATACAAGAGTCTAGTGTATAGGAACCAAAAGGTAGGTATAATATGGGTGCCAACCTGACTAGAGGCGCATCAGATTGCCTCTTCCTTCTACATTCATACATCAATATTGGAAAACCGATCGCATATACACAATACATTGTAATCTATAAAAATACCTACATCTTCAGGTTTATGTCCTCCTGGTATGAGAGTGCCATCCTTCGAACAAAAACAGTAAGGTAATTGACACTGTGCAGGATCACATTTGACTGCCAAATCAGTTGGTGGTTCCGTTATCGGTGCCTGAGCTGAAAAAATTACCATTATTTGAGCCATCCAGCATTTATTTTACTTACATTACTATTGTGAGTACAGTGTTTATGGTGACTCTAAATAGATGTTCGACTACATTATTTCCTATTCCTCTTATAACCATTTATTATTTATTTATTTATTCATACACTACGAGGGATGTCTTTTAAGTTTTCTATATGGAAATAAAACAACACGGTAGGTAGTTTTAAATGACTATTGTTTTTCGAAGTATTCTCCACGAAGATTAATACACATCTGCATGCGCTCGAACCAATTTTCGAAGCACTTATTCCACTCGTTTGCTGGCAGATCCAAAACGGCATTTTTGAATGCGTCAACTGCTTCTTTTGGGAACTGGAACCTTTGACCTCGCAGTCTCTTTTTAATTATCGGGAAAGTAAAGAAATCGTTAGGACTTTGATCGGGACTATATCGAGGACGGTCCAATAATTCCACGTTTTCTTCCGTTAAATACTGCCTGGTTTTTTGGGCCGTGTGCGAGCTTGCATTGTCTTGGTGGAGGATGATTCTTCTTTCGGGGTTGATTTTTGAAAGCTCGGAAATAACTTTTGGCGAACAAATGGTGGTATACCAATCCGCAGTAACAGTTCTTTGCTCATTAAGAAGAATTGTTGCAATATGACCCGCTTTTGACACAAATGTCGCGACCATCTTTTTCGAAACACTTCGAGAACGGATGACTTTTGTTGGCTTTTCTTCACCTTGGAACACCCAAACAGCCGACTGTCGTTTATTTTCTGGTTCATAACAGTAAATCCACGATTCATTACCAGAATTGAAACGGTCAAGCGTTTTTTGACACCAATTAACCCTGGTTGCTTTCTGCTCTTCAGTCAGTCAACAGGTGGGGTATCCAACGAGAAACTAATTTTCTTACTCCTAAGTCTTCAAGTAAAATTTTTTGAATTGAGGTCTTTGAGATCTTCAAGGACGCCTCAATCTCGCGATATGTCACATGTCTATCTTCAATGATGAGTTTGCGCACAGCATCGACGTTTTCCTGGGTGACTGCCGTTTTTGGTGCACCCACCCTGGCATCGTCGCTAAGACTCACCCGTTTGAATTCTCTACCAACGGGAAATTGTCGACTGATGAGGCGCTTCGTTGCCGAAAACAGACAGTAACTCAGCAAGGCATTCTTCTCTAATGACTTGGTGACACTTAAAAATTCGCTGTAGTGAGAACACTGCACGTATTGTTGTGAAACTTTGAATTTAAGTTTACTAAATAGTGAGGTTAAGATTCAGTGCTGACGTTCGATCCGGGTGTCCTACTATGTTTCTATATGCAAAACTTAAAAGACATCCTTCGTACTTGACAGCAACAGATATTTACAAAGTATTACACCGGATTTCAAAAATATACACTTATTTCATAATACAAGCAAGTGTAGGTAGTTCAGACAGAAAGATGCTATTAGCAAATATCATAGTGTAGATAAGAAAGCAAAAAAACAGCCAAAACCTCACAATATATCCAATTATTCTGCAACGTCCAGCTCTCTAGCTCTACCACAAAAAAAAAATAGTGGAGAGATGTCTATTCTAGCGGTAGGCAAATAAAAAGTATCAAATTGTCTAGACTTTAGACGTCGGGTAAGAAACTTAAATTTATGAAATATATAACAACCATCAATACGATTGTACAATATATCAAGAACGGAGTACTCATCACGCCTTTCCGTGAGGCTTCTTCCAAAATGTATGTCAAATTTATGACCAAATGCTTTCTTTAAGAGATATTTTTATAATTTTTGATCATATCCCGGTAATTGACGAAGCTTTGTTTCGAATCAAATTTGACACATGTGTAAAAACCTTGTTTTATGGTATTCATAAAGTTATAAACTTACTTGTTGCTACAGGACCGCACCTTGCTTCGTTCTTGAAAGTACAATATTTTGAAACATCATCGAAGTAGAGTCCGGAAGGGCATCTATTCACATACGGATATCCATCCACACACTAGAAATAAGATACTGCAGTTAATAAAGCAATACTAATTCTCAAACATGTATTCGTCAATCAATAACAATTTTTGTACCTAAAGTCTATAATGAAATGTGTTGATATTGATATGGGAGTTCCACAAGGATCTATATCAGGGCCTATCCAATGTATACTGAATATAAATGATGTTCTATGTACTGCTCAATGGCCTAGTGAATTTTACATTGAATGCAGTCTATGCCAAAATATACAGGGTGTCCACAAAGTTGGGGTTTTCCTTTTCAGAAACAACTACCCTTGAAATAACAAAGGTAATGTGTAGTGAAACGAGGGCGACCAAGTAAAAAAAATAAAGGAAAAAGTACTCACTCTCCAGTTGACGAGAAGGGCTAAGTACGTCTCTGCCCGAAATCATACCTCTCCAACAGAAAATGAAATCAGCTGATGCGCTACCGAGCAGACACAGGCAAACAAGGAAGGCAAAATGTTGCGTAAAAAGTCTAGGTATTGCATCCCGTCCAATCGATTTGGGAGAATAAATGGTCCAATGAGCATACCGTTCACCATGCCAGCCCAAACATTCACCGAAAATGTTTGTTGAAAATGTGTCCGACGGACAGCGTGCGGATTTTCTACTGACCAAACATGAGTGTTGCGAAAGTTATTCACCCCATTACGCGTGAACGTAGATTCGTCTGTCACCAATATGCACTTCAAAAAGTCCGGATTATTGTCATGTTGATGCAACAACCACTCACAAAACCGCACTCTTGCTGGAAAATCGTCAGGTTGAAGGGCTTGTACACGTTGGACATGAAACGGATACAGCCCCTCTTCACGCAGCGTTTACCATACTTTAGTTTTTGATACTTGCACGTCTCGATTGCTTGTTGAGGGATTCTCGTCTACGCGATTACCTCTACACGCGTGACCGTAACCGTCGGCTGAAGGTTGCATACTGACCTGACACACTGACCCCGACCCAGTTCTGTCGTCGGGTTGAGCTAGTATCCTAGTACCACTCGGGGATGTCGCGGCTACAGGACGGTATTCAGATATTTTTGATGTTGCAGAGCCCTTTATCTCGGTTCCCTTAAGACATTGGTGTATATGGTACTAAGAAAAATTGCTTATGTTTTGAAGATCTACATGACGTGTAAAGGAAAACCCCAACTTTACGGACACCCTGTATATTGGTGGCTATTGACATTTTGAAGTAACTTAGATTTGCCAAATATCAATTATTTTTAAACTCTGAAATATGATTAGAAACCGGTCAATTTCCATAATGACACTAAATTTTTGGGGGTATATTTAGATGAATCTAAGAACAGTTCTTAATTAAGATCAACTTATCGGTCTATACAAAAGTTGAATCGAGGCTAAGTACGGCCTTTGCTTCTGGGGTTCATCAAGTGAAAAACAGAAGCATTGTTAAAGTATGCATAGTTGTAGAGAACTATTTAATATATATATATATATATATATACAGGGTGGCCCATCCATTTGTGGACGGAATATTACTCATAAACAAATACATTTTGGGAAAATCTATTAATGGCATCTTATACATGATATTTAAGGGCACATTTGTAGAATATTGGCAATTATACAGGGTGGCCCAATTTTGACCTCCATATCAAAGCTGTGATTTTTTAAGTAAAATCCCTCAAATTTGATTACATATTTAGATAAGCCAATTCAAAAGAAGAAGAGTGATATAACATACTATGGGGTTTTGGTAATTAGCTACTGAGATGTAAGGTGTTCTGTCTAGAAAAACCCTCCAATTCGGCAACCCCTCAGTCCGCCATTTTGAAATTTGGAGTGCTGAATTTTATATCAAAAAAACTTTCACACCTCAGCTTTCATATTATTTGTTACTGTTTAGAATTTTCATTTTTGCTCATACAGGGTGGTCAAAAACGCGAATTGTACTATTTCTCAAAAATTTCAAATGCATCACCCTGTATATTTGTGCAAGCTTGGATTCAATTTTTTATAAGCTGTTTTTGGTATATTGTTTGATTCAGATAAAATCACTACTTAGATTAGAGTTATTAAGCCCTTAATAGAACAGTTCAACACATCAACGAGACCTTCAACATCCAAGAGATGGCTGTAACATTGGACAACGACGAATCATGGTACTCTGGAACCAACTGTTTTGCATAGTCGAATGAAAGTTGTACGTGTTCTTAAGGCAAATGAAAGTGATGGACTGTCTTTGTCAAATATTACGATTTCCGATATGCTCCACAGCCCGTTGTTCAAACAATCATTCGTTTTGTAACAGTAATAAGTAGCACTATAATACGATTATGTAAAACACGCATAATCATAATAGCGAAGAACGGACGAGACGAAGGCATTCATTTAACAGCTCATATACATGTACGCTCATATACGAACGTTGAACAGATTATGAGTGTAGAAAATCACGTCTAGGTGTGTCGAGGACGTGTTCAGTAGTTGCAGAATGTCTGTTTCCTTATTTCAGATATATATGCATAAAAAGATTGTGTTAACTAGGTTGACTCTGCACTTCTAATACGCAACGCTGTCATCTATTCATAAAGAATTATTTGGGCACATATTAACCCCTCTGGAAAATAATTAAGTTACGAGCATGTATAAGAATAAAATTAACTAGATCAAGTCAGTCAAACAAGCGCCTAGATAGTCCCCACCCACTTGGTAACGATCTAAAGATTTGTCCCATGTCCTACCGTCAGTACTGACAAACTGGCAACGTTGCTCTGACCAGTGTTGCCGAGCATACCCATTTCGGTATTTCTACCTTATTTACCCAAAATACCGAAATACCTCATTTTCCACGATTTTTTAAGATAGTTCAGATATTTGTTTACCGAAAGAAAAAATGGAACTAAAAATGAAGATAAAAAATGATTTCTATATAGCTTTATTCCCAGACCACTCACACATAAGCATACACTTTGGCAGCTGGGAACACGAGGAACATAGATCACCGTCATTATTGCATCAAGGGGCAGCAATAAAGAAATTAAAGTTCGTCTGTGATGAGAGGTGAAACGGAAAAATATTTAGGAGCTTATGAACAAGAATGGAGAAAAGAGCTTCAATGATGCTTAAGCTTTTTTCAGGAACAGATACCCTCTAAAAATCCTGTGTTGTGTGTGTGGGGTTAACTCAAAGATATAATAATAATAATAATAACCGTCTTTATTATTGACATGAGACATTGACACAATGGTAAGTGAACATAAGTACATCCAGTGTCAATAAAAGGCGAAGTTCAGTTTGATTAGTACACAGTACCAACAATCTGCTCTTCCACTTAGCCCAGTATCCTCTACGACATATGACATCCGATAAACCGATAATACATACATGTCACTATAAAAGAGGGACATACCTACACGCTAACAAAAAAAAAACAATCATTCATTCATTCATGCGGTGCTACTGTTTTTGCAGCAGTTCCTTTTTAAACATGGCTTTGAAGTTATCTATTCTAGAAAATTTTAGTTCCTTCCGGACTGAGTTGTAGACTTTATATATTTGGTATGTGAATCTCCGTTTGAAGATTGACGTTCTAAACTTGGGTGGCGAAATAAGACCCTTACTTCTTACGTTAATGTTATGAACGTCAGTCCGGTAGGTTATTTTTTGATAAAGATATTGGGGTGTTCTGACTAAAATTAATTTATGATAAAAAACAGCAGAGTGGAGGAGCCTACGATTTTCAATATTTAACCAACCTGCATCTTTCAATTTGTGAGATATTCTATGTCTCCTCTGTATACCAAATGCAAGGCGCAAGCATGAGTTTTGAACCAGTTGAACTTTACGTCGATACAGGTTAGTTAAGTGTGGGCCGTAAAGCACATCAGCGTAGTTGAATAAAGATCCTACTACTACTACTAAAGTATCACATAGCATGATCTTAAGTTTTAACGAGAGAAATTTCCGGCAACCGTAAATAAATTTCAACGACAAATATGCTCTCTGCATAATTTTGTTGATGTGATACTCAAATCGAAGATTACTATCAATCACAACACCTAAATTTTTTACATTGTCCATTATTTTGAGAGTTACACCATTTATCTCAATTTTAATAAGATTCTCTATAACATTTTTATTTTGTCTAGGTCCAAAAACAATTACGTGAGATTTTGATGGATTTATTAAAAGACAGTGGCTTGTGGCACATTCTACAAAGGAGTTTAGCTCATTATTAATGATCAACGAGAAACGATCCATCAATTGTGGGGGGAAGCTGCAATAGATTTGGGTGTCATCAGCGTAAAAATGCACATTACATAGACTAAGGAAGTGCATGAAATTAGATGTATAAATTAGAAATAGGAGTGGTCCAAGTATGGACCCTTGGGGTACGCCGGATTTCAAATTTAAAGATAAAGACTGAACTCCATTTAAAACAACTGTTTGTTTCCGCTTAGTGAAGTAGCACTGAAATAAATCTATAGCGTTTTGAGAAAGACCAATATGATGTAAAATAGCAAGCATTAATTGATGGTTTAAAGTGTCAAACGCTCTGCTGAAATCCAGCAGAACAAGAACAGTACACTCGCCACGATCTGTAGCTCTAATTATGTCGTCTGTTACATGAAGTAAAGACGCCGTACAGCTATGATTTTTCCTAAATCCAGACTGTACAATTGGCAGTAATGAAAATTGTGACAGATGATAAGAAAGTTGCTCCTCCATTGCACGCTCAAGTAATTTAGAGAAAAATGGTAAAACACTAATCCCTCTGAGATCTTTAAGATCTGAAGGATTAGGTTTTTTTGGCAGAACACAGACATTTGCTTGCTTCCACAGATCAGGGAACTGATTATGCGTAAAACAAAAATTAATTATATGAGTTAAATAAGGAATAATATGAGGGCAACATAGTTTAATAAAATTTAAATTAAAACCATTACTTTTTTTCATGCGTGATACAACGCTGATCTTGTGACGGCACCGATTTTTTCCTCCTGCCGATTTTGTCCTTGAATCTACATAATTTTAACGACACTGTATACCGATTTCGTCTTTTTAGGGTCGGCAACATTGGCTCTGACTAACCTCACTAAGCCAGTTCCCCATCGGTCAGACTCCGACACTTCCTAAATTTTGAGTGTAAATTAAAAAAAAATTGTCTCACTCAATAGGTTAAATGATTTGGTTAAGAATACGAGACATGTTCAAATACGAATTCGTTAAATTTGTCATCAAAGTATTAAAAACCTCTGTCCCCTCTTATCTCACGCAAAAGCTTGTTTATAAGAATTTAATTCATAATTTGAATACCCGTAACAACCATCTCTGCACGATGTCTCGTTATAGGACAGCCATATTTCAACGCTCTTTCACGTACAATGCTGCGAAATTAACTAATTCATTTGACGAAAACTTTATTAGCAGCGTTTCCAAAAAACCTACAAGAATTGTTTATACAATGTTTAATTATTTTTTGGTCTGTTTTAATTATACATTCGTTTTCTGCCTTTTCTTGATCTGTCGGAGTGGTACGAGGGATGTCTTTTGAGTTTTGCATATAGAAACATAGTAGGCCGCGCAGATCGAACGTCAGTACTGAATCTTAACCTCACTCTTTGGTAAACTTAAATTAAAAGTTTCACAACAATACGTGCAGTGTTCTCACTACAGTGAATTTTTAAGTGTCACCAAGTCATTAGAAAAATGGATCTTAACAGAGAACATTTTCGCGCCATAATTTATTACAATTTTCAGAGACAATTATCGCAACAAGAATGCCTTGCTGAGTTACTGTCTCTTTTCGGCAACGAAGCGCCACATCAGTCGACAGTTTCTCGATGATATGGATGATTCAAACGTCGACGGGTGAGTCTTAGCGACGATTCCAGGGTGGGTGCACCAAAAACGACAGTCACCCAGGAAAACGTCGATGCTGTGCGCAAACTCATCATTGAAGATAGACATGTGACATATCGCGAGACTGAGGCGTCCTTGAAGATCTCAAAGACCTCAATTCAAAGAATTTTACATGAAGAACTAGGAGTAAGAAAATTAGTTTCTCGTTGGATACCCCAGCTGTTGACTGAAGAGCAGAAAGCAGCCAGGGTTAATTGGTGTCAAAAAACGCTTGACCGTTTCAATTTCGGAAACTCAAAAAATGTGTACAGCATTGTTAGTGGTGATAAATCGTAGATTTACTGTTATGAACCTGAAAATAAACGACAGTCGGCTGGTTGGGTGTTCCAAGGTGAAGAAAAGCCAACGAGTCATCTGTTTTCGATGTGTTTCGAAAAAGATGGTCGCGACATTTGTGTGAAAAGCGGGTCATATTGCAACAATTCCTCTTAATGAGCAAAGAACTGTTACTGCCGATTGGTATACCACCATGTGTTTGCCAAAAGTCATCACCGAGCTTCGAAAAATCAACCCCGAAAGAAGAATCATCCTCCACCAAAACAATGCAAGCTCACACACAGCCCAAAAAACAAGGCAGTATTTAACGGAAGAAAACGTGGAATTATTGGACTATCCTCCATATAGTCCCGATCTAAGTCCTAAAGATTTCTTTACTTTCCCGAAAATTAAAAACAGACTGCGTGGTCAAAGGTTCCAGTCCCCAAAAGAAGCAGTTGACGCATTCAAAAATGCCGTTTTGGATCTGCCAGCAAACGAGTGGAATAAGTGCTTCGAAAATTGATTCGAGCGCATGCAGATGTGTATTAATCTTCGTGGATCATTTAAAACTACCTACCGTGTTCTTTTATTTCCATATCCAAAACTTAAAAGACATCCCTCGTATCTAGGCCGTCTAGGCTCTCTTTCTTTAGACAACATTTGTCTCTTACCCCTTAGGCTGGATGTTAGGTAAGTGTAGTAATAAGTTAAGTGATATGGCTGAGCGTGAATAGCCATTAGCCATACTTCTCCACTTACAAAATAATGTCGATTGACTTTAATTGCATTGAAATGTACTGGGAAATATAATGGTGTGTGGAATATGTCTACAGCAGGCCCATAGAATTACCAGAGCTGGAAGAGTATAAATATACTAACGCCAGAAATGAGATATAACCCTCACCACCTCCCACAATCCCTAACCCCCAGATTTTAACCACTACAAATTTTTTTCTAAATACGATCAGGTGCCTCGAAAACGTGAAGGAACGTCAAGTGTGAGGGATTTTTTTTTCGCCTTTTGCAGGTAGCTCCACCTTCACTGGATTGATTTTCAATAATGACAAAGCTTATTGGTCCTTGGAACAATAGAACCTCGTGTCAAAATTTCATCAAAATCGCGATTACAATACTTCCTCGCCTGTGATGTGGGACGTAAAACTTGGTTCCAATACTATAGGCTGTTTTATCGCGGTCATAGGCGAAATTATATTTTAATTATTATAAAATCGCGAGAAAACTATCACTCTTCAAGAAAGAATGCCTTATTGAACAAAATGGAAATTCATTTTTCACAATCACATGAAAGTAATATACAAAATATGTACAAAATTCGACGTTCGAAGTTCAAATAAAAGCATGCGATAAAGGACACTTCCAGTTCCATATTTGGTAAGTTACAGCCATTTCGATGTTTTTACTGAATTTCGTTGCTTGTACCTGAAGGTAAAGCAGAAGTCTGCTTCTCTACTAGTCTTACTTGATGGAAAAACATACCTATCAATACTTTTAGATTGGTTTATACAATCATACGAGGGATGTCTTTTAAGTTTTGCATATAGAAACATAGCAGGCCGTGCGGATCGAACGCCAGTACTGAATCTTAGTCATTAGAAAAATGGAACTCAACCGAGAACATTTTTGTGCCATAATTTATTACAACTTTCAGAGACAATTATCGCAACAAGAATGCCTTGCTGAGTTACTGTCTGTTTTCGGCAACGAAGCGCCACATCAGTCGACAATTTCCCGATGGGTTGGAGAATTCAAACGTGGACGGGTGAGCCTTAGCAACGATTCCAGGGTGGGTGCACCAAAAACGGCAGTCACCCAGGAAAACGTCGATGCAGTGCTCAAACTCATCATTGAAGATAGACATGTGACATATCGCGAGATTGAGGCGTCCTTGAAGATCCCAAAGACCTCAATTCAAAAAATTATACATGAAGAATTAGGAGTAAGAAAATTAGTTTCTCGTTGGATAGCCCACCTGTTGACCGAAGAACAGAAAGCAGCCAGGGTTAATTGATGTCAAAAAACGCTCGACCGTTTCAATTTCGGAAACTCAAAAAATGTGTACAGCATTTTTAGTGGTGATGAATCGTGGATTTACTGTTATGAACCAGAAAATAAACGACAGTCGGCTGTTTGGGTGTTCCAAGGTGAAGAAAAGCCAACAAAAGTCATCCGTTCTCGAAGTGTTTCGAAAAAGATGGTCGCGACATTTGTGTCAAAAGCGGGTCATATTGCAACAGTTCCTCTTAATGAGCAAAGAACTGTTACTGCGGATTGGTATACCACCATTTGTTTGCCAAAAGTCACACAGCCCAAAAAACAAGGCAGTATTTAATGGAAGAAAACGTGGAATTATTGGACCATCCTCCATATAGTCCCGATCTAAGTTCTAACGATTCCTTTACTTTCCCGAAAATTAAAACAGACTGCGTGGTCAAAGGTTCCGGTTCCCAGAAGAAGCAGTTAACGCATTCAAAAATGCAGTTTTGGATCTGCCAGCAAACGAGTGGAATAAGTGCTTCGAAAATTGGTTCGAACGCATGCGTGTATTAATCTTCGTGGAGAATACTTCGAAAAACCATAAAGTCATTTAAAACTACCCACCGTGTTGTTTTATTTCCATATGCAAAACTTAAAAGACATCCCTCGTACGACATGTGCACAGATAGATGGATAAAAGTGATTATACGATATTTGGCGCTATCCTACATCTGTTACTAAACGTTAAAACAATTTTCGACATTGTTAATGTGTTGCTTACTTATTAACTCTTCCTTTCACTCATCAACAAAATTTTCAATTCAAAAATATTCCCATCTTCTACTTTCTTTTATTACAAAGATTTATTATACCAATAAATGTAACGGAATTTAAAATTTAAGATATAAATAATGTTGTTGAAAGGAAGCCGATGTTGTATTTATTACCTGATAAAATCTCTTACATGTAGCTGGATCGGCGTAGTTTCCGTTTCCTGTAGCTATTGGACAGACGAATTCTTCATTTTTATTGTCCTCCTTTGCTTTCCTTTGGTCGTTGTTTTGACTTCTAACTGAAAATAGAAGCTATTAGTAAGTGTTCATCGTTCGAGGAAAAAATGTGCTTGGTAATTTCCGTACATCCCTGCTAATATTATTAAAGCGGAGGTGTGTAAGTTTGTATGTATGGACATAAGCTACCTCCTTCTGCGAAAATAAAACAAGGGGGTGGAGTAGAGAGTAAAAGTTACTATGAGGAACTATTATACTTTAAGTTAGGGATAGAAATACAGTGGAATCCACTTATAATGAAATTGCTTATAATGGAAACCCGTTTACAGTATGTCAGTTTATTGTTGCATAACTTTAAGATTCGATAAAACTTTTAAAATTAATGCATAAAGTCTATATAAACATGGGTCGAAAAAAGCGTGGCTTCCGAAATACAGGGTTTAAATTGTGTTTATTTGATGTATAACAGTGAAAATTGGTATACAAGGGTTTTTTGGTACGACAAAACGAACCATGGGCACAGTTTTACTGTAGCCGCTAGAGGGCGCTCTCTACTGTACCTATAGTGTATTAAAATGACCGAAAATTTTTTCTTAGTGCAATTTTTTGCTTTTTGAATAAAAAAACTGATTCTTCGCACTTTTCAACATAAACATTTTTAGAAGTAGGCTGTGCCTGCAAATGTTTTTGAAATTGAAAGCAGAATAAGGTTAAACGTCAATTAGTTGACAGTTAGTTTTGTTGTCTGTTGAATCCTGAAATGTTTTTTTGCAACTGTGAATGCACGAAATTTAGTTTCTTTTACCTGTTTTTTTTTGTAAGTTTTATAAAAATGCCATTTTTATTCTCCAATCAAGAGAGTTAGCGGATATTCATTTTGTGTATGGCTTTGTAAATGGAAACGCAGCAGAAGCAGCCAGATAATACGCACGAAGATTTCCAAACAGACGACATCCAACTCGCTCAGTATTTGTAAGAGTGCATCGCCAAATAATTGAAAATGGTTTTGGAAATCTCCAAAGGGATCAAAACATAAATGTTCGTCAGTGCAGATTTACTCGTATGATTCTGCGTGAGTTTGATAGAGATCCGACCACAAGTGTTAGGAGAGTTTCTGGTGCCTTGGGAATTTCAGCAAGCCATGTTCACCATGCTCTTAGAAATGACCATAGACGTCCTTTCCATTTGCAACCTGTGCAAGGACTACAGCCAGGGGACGGAGAACGAAGAATCACATTTTGTCAGTGGATTCTTGATAGAACTGATAATAATAGGGAGTTTTTAAGTAACGTTTTATGGACCGATGAGTCATGCTTCACTAGACGTGGAGTGGTAAATTTTCATAATCAACATATTTGGTCGCATGAAAATCCGCATGCAGTGCGAGAAAGAAATTTTCAGCATGAATTTAGTGTGAACGTGTGGATTGGTATCTACCGTAATCGACTATTTGAACCCTACCTTTTGCCTGCAAGGTTAAATGCTGCGACCTTCTTGGAATTTTTAAAGGCTGAACATGCAAATATGTGGGATGATGTCATGTTAGATTTAAGAAGATTGGCCTGGTTCCAGCTTGATGGTTGTCCAGCTCATTATTCGAGAATAGTTAGAAACTGGCTGGACGAAAATTATCCAGACAGATGGATCGGCCGTGGAGGACCAGTCGCCTGGCCTCCACGATCCCCTGACCTAAATCCATTAGATTTCTTTGTGTGGGGATTTCTAAAAGAAAAAGTGCACCAGATTCCCGTAACCACAAGAGATATGCTAATAGACAGAATCAGGAGTGCATGTGATGAAATAAGGCCTTATTTGAATAATGCTACACCACGTTCGATCATTCGTAGATGTGAATTGTGTATTGAACAATTGGGTTTACTTTTCGAGCAACTACTTTAGATTTTGTATGTTTGTTCTAACTATCCAATAGCATTTTAGTTGTAAATAATTAATTTAATTTGTTAAAAATAATATTGGAAAATTAAACAAATTAATATCCTGTTTTTTTGTGTTTATTTGGAGTTAGGAATTATTGCTGTGTTTAAAAACACAATCTAAACGATCATCTTAATTACTTGTAATGCCCAAATCATAAAAGTAAGAAAAAATATTATTTTCCCATAAATAATTAAAAATGCATCGAACCTTAAAAATCGAAATATCTCAAAAACGGCTAACTATAACGAAAACTCACAGGTGAGCTTTTTTATGTTGAAAAGTGCGAAGAATCAGTTTTTTTATTCAAAAAGCAAAAAATTGCACTAAGAAAATTTTTTCGGTCATTTTAATACACTACAGGTACAGTAGAGAGCGCCCTCTAGCGGCTACAGTAAAACTATGCCCATGGTTCGTTTTGTCGTACCAAAAAACCCTTGTATAACAATTTTCACTGTTATACATCAAATATTGTTCGAAATATTTAAAAAAAACTATTTTAGAAAGCAAATTTAAACACCCTGTATTTCGGAAGCCACGCATTTTTCGACCCATGTTTATATAGATTTTATGCATTAATTTTGAAAGTTCTATCGTATCTTAAAGTTATGCAATAATAAACTGAAACACCCTGTATAATGGACACAATTCAAGGTCCTATAAATATACTAAGTGACATATAAATCCGAACACCCAGTTTAAATGATTTTATTTTAATAAAATTTTGTAAAGTACTTAATGAAGCATAATAAGTAAATGATAAACATTTCAAAATGATTGCACTGCTTTAAAGCCCTTTGACCTTTAATAATGTGTGGATGCACCCTGATGTGCTACGCATTGTCCAACGCGCCTAGGCATGCTTCTGATCAGGTGGTCAATGTCCTCTTGTGGTATATCATTCCAGGCAGCCACCAACTCCTTTCGAAGTGCTTCTAGAGTCTGAGGAGGACGTTGCAAATTGAGCAATCTCCTACCCATCATATCCCACACGTGCTCAATTGGGGATAAGTCGGGAGATCTTGGTGGCCATGGTAACAATGTGACATCATTATGTTGAAAGAAGTCTATTGTGACTCTTGCAACATGTGGTCGGGCATTATCTTGTTGGAAAGTTGGATCTGCCAGGGTGTCAAGATAGGGTAAAAGATGGGGTTCTAGAACTTCGTGGATATAACGCTGCGCGTTCATGTTACCTCTGATGAAGATTAAAGGTGACCTGGAACCATAAGCTATAGCACCCCAAACCATAACTCCAACAGTGTGATGAACATGTCTTTCAACAAAAAACTGTGCATTCCTCCTTTCACCACGTCGCCTTCTAACCCTGGCACGACCATCGTGCATGCCTAAACAAAATCGAGACTCGTCACTAAAGACAATACTGTTCCATTCCTGATCCCAGAGTGACCGTTGTCTGCACCACTCTAGGCGATTACGTCGGTTTTCTCGAGTTAAAGGGAGGACCCAGTGTGGCCGGTATGAAAACAAGCCAAAACTTCTCATTCGTCGGTAAACACTTCGTATGCCAATAGGTCTTCCGTGTTCTGCAAACCATTCATTTGCAATGGACCTGGTAGTGGAGAAACGGTCCCTTAAGGCCAATAATCTTAGGCGGCGATCTTCACGGTCTGTTGTTCTACGGCGGCGTTCAGTGCCCCTTGCTCTTTGCGTACGGGCTTCTCGAAGCCATGCCTGACAACACCTAACCACAGTGTCTACACTTCTTTGCACTCTAACTGCAATTACTCGAAAAGAAAGTCCAGCTTCCCGAAGTCCCACTATACGGCCACTATCAAACTCACTAAGTTGACGAAATCGTACAGGTCTCCGTACTCTAGGCATCGTAACCGATCGTAAAGGATGTCAAGAACCAAAATCCGCCAACGTTGATTCTTTACTGCGGCTGAAATATTCATTTTTAGAGCATAGCGAATTAAAAAAAAGCAGTATAAAAACCGGAATGTTCAACTGATAAGGCTGAAAATTTTTTCACTTGTTATTTACAGTAAGATAAATACATTCACCAACTTTTATTAAAATAAAACCATTTAAACTGGGTGTTCGGATTTATATGTCACTTAGTATAATTGCATGTAAAAACCTCGGATATTATAGACTCGCTTAAAATAGACCCTCGCTTATAGAGGACTATCCATTATATGCGATCTATTTTGGTAGTTTCCCGAAGCAGATTTAGCTGATGAAATCATTTACGGCGGTTTGATTTCGCAGCTTGCATTCAAACTTGGCCACCAGTGTTATACTGTATTTATTAGAGTTATAAACATGTCGAAAAGTTCGAAACGTGCATTCACTTTACACGAAAAGTTCACAATAATTAGTGAGCTTGAGCTGGGTTCATCTCAAGCAAATATATGTCCACTGTCCACTGTGTCAAATATTAAAAAAAACCGTGACAAAATTGAAAATGACTGGAAATCAATTAGTCAAAAGAAAAAGGCTATCGCTGCATCCCGAAGTTGAAGATATGCTGTTTAAATGGTTTCAACAAAAGCGTGCTAATAATTTTCCAATAAGTGGGCCCACGCTACAAATAAAGGCTGAATAATTTGGGAAATTGATCGGAGATTACTTCAAATGTAATTCCGGTTGGCTACACAGGTTTAAGAAAAGACAGAACATTGTTTTTGGAAAAATGTGTGGTGAGTCAGCTTCAGTTGACAAGAACGTAACCAATGACTGGATTTCACAAGTTTGGCCGGTAATATCCAGTGATTATTCAGATAATAACATATTCAATGCAAATGAAATCGGGATATATTATAGGATGCTACCAGATAAAACTCATAAATTAAAAGGTGAAACTTGCAATGGAGAGAAACCATCAAAAGAGCGAATGATTTGTACTAATGCTTCTGGTACTGAAAAACGGAAACTATTGATAATAGGTAAGTGAATGAATAGAAATTCATCTTCTAATTTTTTTGTTATTCAATGGCAGAGCTGCAAAGAATGTATAACCTTTTTTTATTTCTGGGAAATTTAAGAATCCCGTGTTTCAAAAATGTTTAAACAGTTCCCGTCGATAATGTTGGAAATAATAAAGCTTGGATGACTTCATCAATTTTTGAAGAATATTTAAAAAAGTGGGACGCTGAACTTT